CCTTTTTCTTCCCTCGAGTGTATCACCCCACTGGCTGCAAAGGGCCTTGTCCCTTGAGAAATGAGAAATCAAATGCAAAGAAAAGCGGACACCTGCCCCGGAAGGGGGAGGGGATGAGCTGATCCCGACGCGGCCCTTCCCAGTGGCTGGACCCTTCCATCTGTGGGAGCTTTGAGTTCTCCCAGCCAGGAGGCAGGAGAAAGGGGCAGCGAGGGGGCAGAGGGTGAAGAGGGGCGCGGAGGGCCGGGCGGGGACGCGGCTGGCAAGCGGCCTGTGCGCTCCCAAAGCCCCGGGAGAGCCAGGCGCCCAGCGCTGGGGACTCCAGGCCGCTGCCGAGGGAGGCAGTCCTGCCCACTGCCCAGCCCCTTCACTTCCAGTCAAGCAGCCGCGGGCGCCAGCCGCCGAGTCTGCGCGCTCCGAGGCTCGGACTTTCTCATTTTTTCCTAAACCCGAAAAGTTACCGGATTCCGGCAGCCCCCAGGCGCGCGGCCAGAGTGGCTCCGCGCTTGCGCGGGAACCGAGCGCCACAAGGTGTGTGTCCTCGCCTCGCCGCGCGGGTGCGCGCGTGGGGGGATACAGGTCCGTCCCGTTGGCGGCCTGTGGGCTCGCCCCTCCCCTAACCATCTCTCTCTCTCCCACAAGCACGCTCATAAACACAGGGCACGTGGAAATTCTCATCCAAAGCGCCTTACCCGGGCGGATGCTCAACGTGGTGATTTATAAACAGCTCAGCCACTCCCCAAAGACCTCCGCTCCTCTTTAGTCATGATGAATTCTCTGGCCCGCTCCACTTTGCTGTCTAGATTAAGATGCTCGGAGGCCCCAAAGTGCCCCCCTTGAGCATTTAATTTGGCTTCCCTCACAAACTCACGACCGCCGGCAGTGCCAGCGCCGGGGCTACAACGTGCGGGGCCACAACGCATGGAGTCGAGGGTGAGAGGTGGGGACGTGATTCACGTTTCCTGGGATTGTTTTCCCTCACCCCGTTTCCGGGCAGCAACTTTTCACTCACTTTCCAGCAAGCGCACGGTACACTTGGGCCTGCGTGGTGATCCCACTGCGCCAGCCTGAGCCGCGCCCGGGTCTCCTACCTGGCTAGCAGGCTCCGAAACCGGCGGCAGGCACCTGTTCCGGGCGGCTACGCAACTGAGGGCGCGACGCGCTCGCGCTGGGTAGAGCGGTGCTGCCAGTGCAACGTCCCACCGTCTTGCTCCGGAGTTCATGGCTGAAAGCTAAGCAGGGAGCTTCGCAAGTGAGCGCCTGAGAGGGGAGTTAGACCAACCCCACCCGGTGGCGTCCGCCGCCGAAGTTACTGATTAGGAAGGTTCCCTTAGCACAGCCCATTTTCCTTCACATACTCTTCCTCCCTTTAGAAGCAGCTAACGGAAAAGTTGCACCCAAAAGCTCCAGGAGCATAGGGAAGAGCTCACGCAGCCCCGGCGTCGCGGCTTCCCGGAGCTGCCTTTGGTGCCTCCCCCTCGCCTGGAGGTCGAACACCCCTTGCCAGCACTCCTGTAGCCTTGAACAAGGCGAAGGTCTACCCTAAAATGCTCCTAGTTTTCTAGACCAAAAACTGCGCGCGTCCCAGCGTGTGAATGTCTCGGAGACTTTTAGAGTTTTGTTTTGTTTTCTGTCCAGACCGCTGCGCTGTCAGAGCAGGCAACATCGCGCCTTAACAGGCGTCTCTTACAAGCCGAGGCGCGGGCTGAGCCTGCCTCTCGTGGGATCCTCTCGCCTAGGGGCTGGAGGACTCCTGGGCCTGGAACCTAAAAGGAAAAGTCTGCACTAGTTGTGGGGGTTAGAAGAGGACCTTAATTGGGGCAAAAGTGTTCGGACATTCTGGAGCAAAAAGCACATGGGCACTGAAATTCTAACTCTGGGGGAAAGGAGACTTCTACAGGGGGATGAATCTGACTCCTGGCTCTAGGTATAAGAGACGTTGATGTGCGTGTGTGTGTGTGTGTGTGTGTGTGCGCATCCATGCGCGCGCGCGCGCGTGTCCCAAGGTGAATAAAAATAGGACTCTCCTTGGCTTGTCTGGATTCAGCCTTTCTCTTTCTCCTTCTTCATGCCCCCCCCCGCCCTATTTGGAGGAGAAAGTGGACCGCCGCCAGCCCCCCGCGCCACCACCTAAGTCTTGCAAGTGGCTGTGGTCGATAGAGGGCCGGGATGCCCCCCTCCTCCCTCCGGACTGCCCCGCGCGTCTTTTTGGGAGACAGATGGGGGGCGGGCCCTTCCGAGAGGGGAGGAGGAGGCCGGGGGTGGGGGAGAAGGGGAGGTGAGAACTCTGAGAATCTGAATTGGGTGGAGAGGGGGGACCGGAGGAGGGCTAAGAGGACTCCGCGCCCCGGGGAGAGGAGGAGGGGGCAGCTGTGCGCCAATCAGTGGCGCCGGCCTAGGAGGTTGCTAGCGGTATCCACGTAAATCAAAGGGCGCGGAGCCAATGGGAGGGGGCGGAGGGGGCGGGGCCCAGGCGCGTGCCGCTGCGAGCCGGTGCTGCCAAGAGAGCGGGAGAGAGCTGGAGAGAGCAGGGAGAGGGGGGAGCGCGGAGCTAGTCGGAGAGTGAGCGAGAGCAAGAAGGGAGAGGAGGAGAAAGAGAGCGAGGGCGGGCGGGCGGGCGGGAGGCGGCGGCGGCAGCAGCAGTAATAGCAGGAGCAGCAACAGAAGGCGTCGGAGCGGGCGTCGGAGCTGCCCGCTGAGGGAGAGAAGAGGGAGACAGAGAGCGAGCGAACAGAGGAGCCCGAGGCGAAAAAGTAACTGTCAAATGCGCGGCTCCTTTAACCGGAGCGCTCAGTCCGGCTCCGAGAGTCATGGCGACCGCAGCGTCTAACCACTACAGCCTGCTCACCTCCAGCGCCTCCATCGTGCACGCCGAGCCGCCGGGCGGCATGCAGCAGGGCGCGGGGGGCTACCGTGAGGCGCAGAGCCTGGTGCAGGGCGACTACGGCGCGCTGCAGAGCAACGGGCACCCGCTCAGCCACGCTC